TTCCGCAAACCTGCCGAGGGTAAGGGGTCATTTAATCACTAATCTCCCGAAAAGCCATGCTATTAGTTTGTAATAGCATAGTTGCGCTCCCATTTAAAAATGGACAAACATTCCCTACTTGCAATCAGCGAATTTAAGCTAAAACATTTGCTTCTTTGCTTGTGGGATGCTGACTCTCGCATTCCCATTAAGCCCCGCGCTCCCAATGTTTTTCCACTGATCTCTATTCCCAACTGAAGCGACGAGGGACGAGGCAGGTTCCTTGCAGGATTATGTGCGTGAGGCACTTGCCTAATGCGTAGTAGGCAGGGAGACAAAGGGTGTGACCCTTGCCAACGGGCGATTAGAACTAATCGCCCGCTACAGCGGGCGATTAGTTAGTAATCAACCCTGTCGAAACAAAAGAAACCCGGGCAACTATGCTATTAGTTGACAAAACTTATATTAACACGCTGCATGGTTTAGTTTCTCAAGGCGCAGAGGAGTAATACTCCTATCTAGCTATCATATAAATAATATTCGTGGTCATAGAAAGTCGCGAACCGTAAAATCAAAGGCATGTCAATTTGTTTTTAGCACAATTAAGCATGCCCTTATGAAGCCACGACTAAGCGAGATGAAACTGCAAAATTAACCTAGCAACAATTCAGATAATTTGTTACCTTAACAATTACGTCCCGTTTACATGGCACGTACACGACTGTAGCTGCAATATTTTGCAATGGTATGACAGCACGGCAAAATTTGATGTACGGCAAAAGATAAACGGCATGTTTATTCTAAATATTGTGGGACACTTAACTTATCTACCGAATTCGAATGCGAGGAAATACTTTTGAAAACTGCGCATTTAGTTATCTATGCTTTGTCCAGATTTACATCTCATTTATACACGTACGGCACTAGACACATTTTTGCCCGGATAAAGTATCTTGCATGACCAAATTAAAGCAAAACATTTAGCGAAGACAGTCTACGCTGCCAACTTCGAGAATCATTAGGGGCAGACCATTAGAAATCCCGGGAGGGGGAAATAAAATTTTTGCTGCACGAATTTTTTTTCAGTCTCATGTCTCTGCAGGATTTTTTTAATGCATTTAACCTCTGCAAGAATTTTTTTCAAGACCATTTGTACTTTGCTGTTTGCTTGCACGAATTTTTTTTCTCTGACGTAATGGCCGCACGAATTTTTTTCCAGGCATTTTTCTTTGCACGAATTTTTTGGGGGGAATTTCAGTCCGCTTTCATTGACTAATACGAGCTAACACGCGCGTTGAATAAACAGTAGAGAAAATAATAAGGCGTTGAAACATCAACAAATGCCATAGGTTGCTGTGACATTAAAAATTATCAACTTATTAAAGTTTCTATATATTTCAACAAAGGAAATTATTTTAAAACTACCTTTCTGATTACAAAATTGTTATTTGCAACTAATTTGCAAAATCCCGATAATATTGCAATTGACTAGTAAGTTAATTCTTATATTTGATTGAAAATTTGTGGAACCGGCCGATATCTGATTTTGAAATTGCGTTTATATTATGTGCATGTTTAAAGGTTCATATGTATTTTATATTCGAATATGCCAACAGCTATAGAATACTATTTATGAGTGTGTAGGCATTTCAGCAGATGTCAATTAAACTGTCATAGCAACATTTCCAAACGTTTACTTCTTTCCAACCTTTTGAGCCAGATCCAAACGTTCACAGCTGTGCGATCAAAAAAGTTATCCCCATTAACAACTATTTGGAAGGTTTAATTAATTAATTAAAACTCTTTTTCGACCACCCCCGTTTGCATCATATTACGACACAATTTTTCTAATATAAATATCTCGGCGAGTATTTACCCCCCCTTATAAATAAATACCACCATTGTAATCCTCACGAAATAACCTTTCAAACGGGGGGTCAAGTGCCGTCTGAACATTACACAAACCGAAACAATTATATATTTACTCACCGCTTGGCCAAAGATTTTAAATTTCATATACACAAGATCTTGAATATCTCTTGAACATTTCGTCATTTGCTGAACGGCTATATGTTTAAAATACTCTTTGTATTCAAGCGCTTTCGTGTACAAAATTTTGTTTGAATACGGCGAGTAGAAATATTTATTTTGAATTTTTCAAGATGTCGGGTTTTACTCGCACTTGCGTACATTGCGCAATAATTGGCCAATAAGAAGCTCCTGTAGCCGGGATGACGTCAAACTCACGCGTGTAGGTGCAATTTGACCTTGCGAATCCATTTCTGGCCTTTGCAGGGTCATACCATACAAGCTTCGCATTGTTTTGACGGTTTTCAGTCGTATTTCCGGTTGGGATTAACTCATTTCGAGCTCACAGTCGGGCAAGAAATGGAAATATATTGATAAAAGATGCAGATTTGAAGATACAGGCTTGCAAATAACACTCTAAGTAGTGTTTTTAATGGGAATTTTAACAAGACTATTACAAAGACGATATGTTCGAAGGGGCCGAAGTTATGTTCGGCGAAAGGTACGGCTAGTCTATATTTTTGTTCAGACAATTGCGTAATTTGATACAATATGATCGTGTTTGACTTCAAAGGCCCATAAATCGCTACAATGTTGATAATGACTATAACTATAGGGAGGAATTAGTTGAATATTTTATTTCTGAATCGAATGATGGTATTTCTGTCTTCATAGCATGCACTGAACCGAAGATATTAAATTTCTTGCAATCGATCAGTGCTGATCGACGTTACTGGGATGTGGTGAAAAGATTTAACTGGACGATATCAGAGAAAGGTCCTAGAGTACCTTATAGTTCAGTAATTTTAACTCATTTTAAGGCCAAGGTTGGAAAAAAAATAGTAAAAAGCTAAAAATTGTTAGATGCAATAATTTAACTATCCTGAACAATATACTAAAAGTCCCCATGTATCCTCTTAGAGCTTTTTCCATTATGACAAGGTTTTTTTCGATTTCCCTATTACTTCCATATTGTTAAAAAACGTGAAATTTCAAGTTCACTCATAACAAAAATGACTCGCATCACTAGAAGGCTCATAAAAAACTACCTATAAGACATTTAAACAGTTACCTAAATTTTTCAAGCGGTTTTAGAGTTATTGCTGTTCCAAATGTGAAAAATAGGCCAAAATCTGGCAAAAATCCTGGGTACTAGTCTGACAACACGTTTCCAAGAGCTGATAACTCAAGAAGAACTTGCAAAATCAAGGTAGCCGTTTTGAAATGTCTTATATGTAGTTTTTTGTAAGTTTTCTAATGATGTACTTATTTTTCCTATAAATGAATATGAAATTTCACTTTTTTAACAATATAGGAGTTCACTAGGGAAATCGAACAAAAAACTAGTCATAATGGAGAAAGCTCCAAAAGGATACATGAGGCCTTTTAGTATGTTATCAAGGTTGCTGAAGAGAGTGCACACGCTAATTTTTGGCTTTTAACTAATTTTTTCTGACGTATTTCCTATTTTGATTGTACTATTATAACATAACATAATACAACTCTGACCTTTTTGTTTACACACACTGATATTGTGCTTTTCATGGATTCCGGTACTCGTCGATGTTTCAATCCTTTATTTTTTTCTCTACTGTTTATTCAACGGGCCCGCTAGCGCAACCAGTCCGCAAATCGCATGCTTCAACAGTGAGCTATAAATTTCATTATCTAATGCTAAATAAATACATAACTTCCATAAGACCCGGGATGGGTTCTCTGTGGTCAAACCAGTCAAACCTTTCTTAGCAAGCTTAACCATACTAACCATATCGAAGATCTATTTTGTATAAATTGTAAATATTTACTAAATTGTAATTGTATTCATTACTAATTATTTTTTTCTCATATGTAAATAGTCGTAATCTTTAATACTTTTATGCCTGTAAATATCAAAATAGTGCGAGGGCCGTATGTTAGATAACTTTTATGGTTAATACGTTTTCCCTCGTGAAATAAAGTTTCTATTCTATTCTATTCTATTCTATTCTATTCTATTCTATTCTATTCTAAACCTCTGAAGACCGGTGCAAGATTTCTGAGAAGAACTAGAATCTTCATTGGTTTAAACAGCCTCTAAAAGACAACAAGGAACGGCAGCATCTTGCATTCGACAGTTGCCATGTTGGATTTATTCGCGTCGTGACTACTAAGACCAGAATTCTCCGCGCGCATCACGCCTTGTGACGTCATTATGCATAATGTCTATTTGAAGATCTTTATCCTTGACAGCATAAACATTCAGTAATTCTCATCACAAATTAAAGAAGAAGAAACGGCATCATAGAGAAGCTAAAATTTATTATTTCAATGTTACAATACACGTGCAAATTTTTTTGAGAATAATCAAATTGAATCAAGTAACAAATTAAATGCAAGTATAAATCACAAGCAAATTAAGTATGTCAGTATACTTGCGGACTGTCCGAACCAGTAAGTATTATAAATTTAGGCATTACATTGTCATATCACATCTTTCCTTAGCAACCACTTCAAAATCCTGTGGGCGCATGACCAAATGCGGTTCGGTAACTTCTGTTGTTGGAATTTCTGCTCCTTCTGGCAATTCAAACTTGTATCGATGCAACAAGCTTGCAGCAAATGTAACCATCAAGATCTTTGCTAATGACTGTCCGGCACATTCTCTACGACCAAGCCCAAACGGGATAAAATGTTGAATTTTACTCCAACCGACAAATTTTCCATCGGAATCGAGAAATCTTTCTGGTTTAAATTTCTCTGGTTCAGGCCATTCTCTCTCGTCGTGATGTGTTTTATTAAGATTGGCAAGAACGGCGGTTCCTTTCGGAATATGGTAACCGGCTATCGTTATATCCCGACGAGTGCTAGTTGGAGCTAAAACAACCAAAGTCACTGCTCTTTGAACTTCACAGAGAGCAGCTTGCAGATACGGCATGTTCTCTGAGTCATTCCAGCATGGAGTGCGATCTCTTCCAACAGCCAAATCAACCTCCTTCTGGATTGTTTCCTGCATATCTGGGTTTAATATTTTCGGAGAATATGTTAGCTCTTTACTATCAAATATGTTTGTGAAACAGTTGATAATCTTACTGAGGAAGGCCAACGGTTTCTGAAAAGCTAAAGTACAGTACGTCGAAATCAGCTTTGGAATAGACTATATTTTCACCGGGGAAACATGAACTAAATGGATATTTACATCAACACTAAATTTTGCTCGTGCCTACGGAGTTAATTGGATTAAAACATATGTTAAGAAGTAAGTGAAAATGTGAACTTTGTGAACTGTACTTTCATTAAAATATTTCAGAAGGTCTGCTAATGCCAAACGACACGTGTGACAGAGCTATCAATATACCCATATTTCAATGTTTATGTTGAAATGACCCATCTTCTTTGAGGTATAGCTTAAAAATTAGGGTATGCTCATCACTTGAAACTAGCTTTAAATCAAAGTTTTATCTATAGTTTTTTTATTAGAATTAAAATCATTCATGGGAAAAACGTGCCTAAGGGTTGAAATTGCCTGTAAATGTACACTATTTTTGACATGTTTGGGTTAGTATTTCGAAAAGGTGTTCTGGAAGGAAAATATGTCTTGAACAATACTGCTTGACCCTTAAATTATAACTAGTGTTATGTAAATCACAGAAAATTGAAAAAAGTCAGGTTCATACACAATAGTTTGGATTCTATGAGGTCCCGAATGCGGCTTATTTCAATATTTAATCTGTTGACCTGGAAAAACATAGAAAATTGAATAAGTCAAGAATTTGCATGACTATGCTCATCACCCAAAACCAGGTTTTTCTACTTGCTTTTTCACCTGGGTTTGTGGCAATACCAGTTATGTGATTGTTATATATTGCCATCCTCTTATCATAGTGTAACTTAACTTATTTTAGTATATAACATATATATATATATATATATATATATATATATATATATATATATATATATATGTATATATATATAGAATAACATATATATATATATATATATATATATATATATATATATATATATATATATATATATATATATATATATATATATATATATATATATATATATATATATATATATATATATATATATAATTTCGCTTACCTCAAAATTCCGCAACAGTCTGTTTCATCAGTAAAGAATCATCAGGCAAGATACCGCCTGATGATTCTTTACTGATGAAACAGACTGTTGCGGAATTTTGAGGTAAGCGAAATTCTACATTTGCTCTATTTTTATGATATTGAGCACTCTTTGCGTTTCGTATACACAAACCTACTCGTATATATATATATATATATATATATATATATATATATATATATATATATATATCTATCTATATATATATATATAGTGTAGTTAGATATCGCTCTATGGCCTTTAGGTCATATTGAGCGCTCTACAGGATGAGCCATGCCGCTTACGCATTGCGCACGCTCACTGCTTGCAGTTTTGAGCGCTCTGGCATGGTTTTGATGTCCCACAATCGTGAGGCATCAAAAGGTAACTATAAATAAGAGTTACTTTCATCCTGCTCATCAGCACTACACTGATGAGGCCCATAAGGCCGAAACGGTACCGTCTGTAGTTAGATATCGCTCTATGGCCTTTAGGCATATTGAGCGCTCTACAGGATGAGCCATGCCGCTTACGCATTGCGCACGCTCACTGCTTGCAGTTTGAGCGCTCTGGCATGGTTTTGATGTCCCACAATCGTGAGGCATCAAGGTAACTATAAATAAGAGTTACTTTCATCCTGCTCATCAGCACTACACAGATGAGGCCCATAAGGCCGAAACGGTACCGTCTGTAGTTATATATATATATATATATATATATATATATATATAGATATATATATATATATATATATATATATATATATATATATATATATATATATATATATATATATATATATATATATATATATATGGGTCTCGAACCCGCGACCTTCGAATTATTAGATCGACGCTCTACCTACTGAGCTACACGGTCAGACGGATTTAAGACTGGAAATTATGAAATATATACTGAATGTCATAAACATACTCGTTTATATTAATTCAGCATCGAACAATACTAGTTCTGCAAGTGTTATGTTAGTTCTGCATATCTATATATATGTACGCGGGTGATGCAGGTTATGGTGTACAGTGTACTGTCACTTTAAATGTAAAGAAACGCTTTGTTTACATTTTGAACTCAGTGCTACAGTTATAAAATGGCCTGTACAGAATGTATGCGCAGAACGGACTTTACATCACCTTTAATGTTGATTAATTTATATCTCTTTACAATGCCGGTGGCAATTGGTGGTAGCCTTTCAGGTGTCTGTTTTTCCGAGGTTGTGCATAATACACACTATTTACATAAACGTATGGTTAAATACAGGCATGATAGTGTGTGATTAGGTATTTTACAAATGTATCTGAACCTCCATTATAGAACCTCCATCCTAGTATAATGAATCTGAACCTCCATTATTACATCATGATATGAAACAAAAAATGAGTAATACAGATGTGATTCAATATGTTGAAACAATCCTATACTGTATACATTGGAAATTGCAAATATGGCCGAAATATTACTGAAGTCTGACGCCATATATTTTTCTATTAGCCTCCATTACACCATATGAAACCAAAAATGAGTGATACAGATGTTATTCCATGTATATCAGTGTGTGATTCAAACATATGTTGAAACAATCCTATCACTGTATTATCTATAGATTGGAAATTGCAAATATGGCCAAATATACATGGGCCGAATCTAACGATCCAATTTGTCATACAAGCAATACAATTATAACTGATTATTGACCTCTTCTCCATTCATGTTTCCAAAAAGCAAAACTCACATATCTCCTTATTCTCAGCAACCAAAAGCCGTCCAAAACAGTATAAATTCAGCAGTCAAAAAGTGTTGGCTATATAAATCCTATATACTGCAGTATTAAACATGCGGCGAACCTGCATGGCAACACGGTCCTGCGGCAAAACCCCCCCAAAAACGGGCAAGGCTTGATTGTGATTGGTGACTACCCTATTTAATCTGCTGGCCAATCACAAGACTCGATCATATAGCTAGGTATTTACTGTAGTCTTGTTATAAAAGCTTGAAAACATTTTATCAATATCATTACGTGTTTCTCTGTAAACTGTCAAAATCAATTCCCAAGAGATCATTTTTAAATGATACGTTGTCAGTTGGTTCATATTTAAAGGATGGTATAATACAAAATTGTGAATAGTGATCGCTAATATCTGACACTATATTTCCACTAATTACGAAGTTACTATCATTTCTTATTAGAATGTTATCAATAAGTGTGGCAGAATTGTTATGCACTCTAGTTGGTTTGTCTATTGTTGAACTAAGTCCATAACTTTGTAAACATATTAAGAAATTGTGAGCATATTTGCTAGTTTCAAATCGAAGAAGATTTATGTTAAAATCTCCAAGAATATAAATTGACTTGTTTGAGGTACCGAGTTTCTCTAGGATATCTTCAAAATAACTTTGGAAACACTCTGGCGAGTTATGTTGTCTGTAAATTACTGCGCATATAATATTAGCCTTGTCAGTAAATCCAATTTCAACCCAAAGAGCCTGAAATGCTTCATTGGAACTTTTTTCAATTATTTTATAGTTTAGATTATCTATATACATTCAGGGCTGCAAATAAATATTTGACTTGACAGGACAGTTGTCCGATCACTTTTAATTTTGGTCGGACATAACTTGAATTTGGTCGGACAAAAAACAAAATCACTAAATTTGATCGGACATATATACGTCACAAGATATATATAAGTCACAGGACAAGTATGTATAGCCATTCCGGCGCAATGTTAAGCAAAATGCTAGAATGCCTCTTAAATTTTATTGCAAAATGCAAATCGAGTGAATTTGCAATTGGATTTTGTCACAGCAAAAAAATGTATAATGTGACAATTTTTTTGTGATCTGACCAATGTCCGATCAAAATTACTTTTGCTCGGACATTTGCCAAATTTAGTCGGACATTGTCCGATGTCTGACAGTAATTTGCAGCCCTGTACATTCCAACTCCCCCGGCGGAGAGTGGAGTTGGGACGTATTCAAAATTATATCCCAGAATGTTAGGATTGAAATCAAGAGAGCCTGTGTTAATTATTCTTGTTTCGGATATTCCAATTATACTAAAGTAGTGGTCTAATTCATGCAAATGGTTTTGAAAATCGTCCAAATTACGCTTCAAACTCCTTACGTTGTTATGAAGAAATGAAAGGCATGAATTGGGAATCTTATCAGAACTTTTTGTTCGAGAAAAACTATGAGGAGAGTAATAATTACTGTGTATAGATTTAGATGATAGATTACAATCTGGATTTATGTTCGTGTTCGTGGTTAGATTAAATAAGTCTAAGTCATAAATACTACATAACTTGTCTAGTTCTTTTTTTGTAGGTAAATTTGTGGCGATACTATTATTAAATTGTCCATGGCATTCAAGAATATTTACATTATTATTAGGCCGTATTCTGTCAACCAAAAAGCCGCTTAGAAAACAAGTTTTGTTCCGCCCTCATGGGGAATACTTTTCAACAAGTAAAATCAATAGATTATTTTGTGTAAAATTCAAATTCACTTGTTGTAATGTTCACAAACCTGCAGTTTTGTAGTACAACACCGCCAAAGTTTCACTAAATCAACACATTTCGTATTCGTTCACCGCCATTTTTCATTAAACCTTCATCAATTGTTAAATGAAGTTCATAACATTCCGCTGAACAAATCCATCAAACAACGGCTCAAAATTTAAACATGGCGCAGGTTTCCACGGTGTTACTTTACAATTTTTAGTTATTTTTTCAACTATGTATGTCTATTTTTTTCAATTTATACATTTTTACAGTTTTGGGGTAAAAGATTGATATTTTCCTAATCGTTTAGTTACTTGATGGAGGTATTTTCTATGTTTTAACTTTTAATTAAGTGCTGTCGAAAACTTCAAAGACAAATTGTACTGTGATAAAACTATGAAAAATTCACACTGTTTACCCATTTGATGAACTAAATTTTAAATACCTAATTTACATCTCACTCACCTTGTCTTGTACCTTGGATTGCTGGGTCACTATGTTATGATATCATTGATGTGAATGTTGTGTTATTGATCAAATATGCCTTTCTGGAAATTATGTCAAAGGTATTGGAAGTGAGGTTTACGAGAATTTACATATGAGTGAACGCCTCATCTATGCCCAGTAAATCTCATCTCCAGGTCAAGAAGGTAATAATGCAGTTTTGTAACATACGTGCTTGCGGCATGCTTGGTGTGCAGCAATAGACGAGTATCTGCTTCTTCATGGTTGCTATCGAGTGGTGGAAACGAGTCTGTTCTAACAGGGTCATCACCATTTCGATTGGGATGGTATGCATAACATTTATTCTTCGATGTTGCATAAAAAAACAGAAACAGAAGCAAACTGGCATGACTTGTATGATTTCCAATGTTTGATGAAGAATTCCAATAACGATTCTTTGTTATCTCTAGCACTCAGAAATTTTTTCCATTGCTTTGGGATGTTCTGCTCTTGGCCATAGATGTGTACTCGTTGAACTCCTTGTGTAGCGCGTCTGACTCGCTCAGTGTTCTTGATACTCAGAGCAGGATACCGGTCTGCGACAAAATCTAGTCTTAATGCACGACAATCATGAGCTAATTTCATGAGGAAATTGAAAACTGAATCCGCAAAATCACCAAAGGTTTTCCAGTTTCCTTTCAAGCACTGCACAACAGCCATGGCATCTACAATGAGTGCATTATTATTTGGGATGTCTGTTATGTCAACATGCGGGTTTCCGCTTTCAC